CTGTTAACCACAAGGCTTCCCCTCTTAGATGGCTGGAATCCACCAGGGGCTCTATGGGAGAAAGAAATTCCTCTTATATAATTTATTCCCTCAGAAACCCACTGGAGGGTCCACGGTGAGCCAGTTCTGATAGGCAATTAGTGTGTTAGTGAGTGAGTGAGCAATAACCATGGGCAGACTCCCCTTCTAAAAGACACATACCACACAGGACGGACACATTTTGTTTCATAACTGTCATATGGGAAAACTCATGGAGCTCAGGATTGCTTTGTAAAGTTAAGATAAATTAGCATATGACCCTGGGGTTCAATTGACAAAAACCCACTGGCTGCAATCATTAACAAGGTCAAGAGAGAAGATCTTAATGGACACTACTTTGAAATGTGATATTGTAGTAGGGCTGCAAATGGGGTCCTCATCTGTGTTCAGCACTTAGAATTCATGGCTTCTCCCTTATTGTCTGTTTGATAGGAAGGCAAATTTATACAAAGGAGTGTTATCTTATTTGGTGCCCTAGGACATGTAGTTTGCAAATGTTTCCTCCTAGTCTGTAGTCTGTCTTTTCGTTTTCTTATCAAGATCTTTTGCAAAGCAGAAGTTTAAGATTTTGGTGAAGTCAATCATGTCAATTTTGAAAAAAAAATTGTGAAATTTTTTTTTTTTTAGTGTTATGATTAAGAGCCTTTTCCGTGGCCCTGGGACCTAGTGGGTAAGGAGTTACACTGCCAACCAAAGGCAGGCCGTTTGAATCTACCAGCTGCTCTGTGGGAGAAAGATGGACAGTCTCCTTCTGTGTGATTTACTGGCTCTGAAAACCTGCTGAAGAGTTTGCTATGGATGGCTTCCAACTTGGTGGCGCAGAACAACTGTAACATATCTTGACTATTTACCCCTGTGTTTTTTTCTAAATGTTTTTATAGGTGTATGTTTTGCCTTTAAACTGTGATCACTTTTGAATGCAGTTTTACACAGAGTATGATGTTAAATCTCAGATTGTTTTTGTTTTTTCTTGTGGGTGTCTATTTGTTCAAGCATCATTTGTTGGAAAGACTACCTTTCTTCATTGCTTCTTTGTGGGGGGGAAGTCACTTTAAAGTATTAGTTTAGGTCTATTTCCAGAGTCTTTATTTTTCCATTTATTGTTGTAAGGAATTGTGCTAACAATACAGAGGTATATGGTGCAAACCCACCCACTGCTGGGTGGGAGAAAGACGTTTAGTCTCCTCTCATGTAATGTATTGCCTCTGAAAACCCACTGCAGAGTTCAGCTATAGGTCGATTCGGACTCAACGGTACACAACAGCAACAAATACATTTATCTCAGCTCCAGCACCACACTGCCTTGATTATTAAAGCTACATAACCAAATGCACACCAAACCCATTGCTGTGGATTTGATGCTGACTCTCAGCAAATCACCATCAGTTTTCTGAAGCTGTCAACCTGAAACAGAGAAGAGAGACCGCTCATCTTTCTTCGGAAGAGCTGCAGGTGAAATCTGATCTTTTAGAGAGCAGTGCCATGTGTACCTAAAGACAGAACTAGGTTTATATATGGTTAAGTGTGAAAAATCAGGTAGAGTAACTCCACTTTATTTTCAAACTACTTTTAGCTATGCTGGTTGTTTTTTTTTTTTGTTTTTTTTTGGGTTTGTTGGTTTTTTGGGTTGTTTTTTTTTTGCCTTTTCATAGAAAATTTTGCATATAAGGTGTTGTACACTTTGCAAAATCAGGTGGTTTGAACCCACTAGCTAGCTGCTCTAGTGGGTGGGAAATCTTCTCCTGTTGTTACTTACAGCCTCTGAAAGCCTGCTGGAGGGTCAGCCATATGTTGGTTCTGACTTGACAGAAGTGTTCGTGTTGTCAGGTGCCATCACGTCGACTATGACTCACAGCGATGCTATGAGCAACAGACCTGAACTTTGTTCTGTCCGTGCATCCTCATGACTGCCAGCCCATCTCATGGAGGGTCTTCCTCTCTTTTCCTGATCACCGACCTCTCCCAGCATGTGTCTCTGTAAGGACTGTCTCCTCCGGATAATATTTCTAAAGTAAACGAGATGAATTTTCACTATCCTTGCCCCTTGGGAGCACTATGGTTACACTCCTCCAGGAGAGATATGTTTAGTTTTTGGATACAGGCCATGGCCTTTGCAATCACTTGTTATACGTCAGAGAGCTGGACAATGACTAGGGAGGATAGAAGGAGAATTGATGCCTTTAAACTGTGGTGCTGGAGAAGAGTATTGAATGTACCATGGACTGCTAAGAAAATGAACAGGTTTGTCCTGGAGAGGGTTAAACAGGCTGCTCTTTGGAGGCAAAGATTCTGAGGCTTCGTCTGACATACTTTGGACATGTTATAAGGAGGGACCAGTTCTTGGAGAGGGACATCATGCTTGGGAGGGTGGAGGGACAGCGCAGGAGGGGAAGACCCTCTATGAGGTGGATTGACTCAGTTACTGAGGTAATCGGGGTGGGTGTGTTGGAGACAGTGAGACTGACAAAGGACATAGCAGAATTTAGGGCTGTTGTACACAGGGTCTCTCTCTATGAGTCACAAGCGACTCAACAGCACATAACAACAACAGCATAGTATGTTTAGTACTCTTCTCCAACACTGACATTCAAAGGCTTGGAGTCTTCTTCAATCATCCTTATTCATTGTCGCACTTTCAGATGCAATATAGAGAGCAATCAAAAGACCATGGCTTGGATCAGGCTCACCTTGGTGTTTAAAATGACATCCTTGAATCTGGTTCCATCTGAGTCTCCCCATACCTGTGCCCATGGGTTTCCAAAGCTGGGGCAGCTGTCAGAGAGAGAGAGAGTGGCTAGGCAGCCCAGCTTCATGACAGCTCTCTGCACACCGCATCCTGCAGGCATCTATCACGCACCCTCCCTGCCACCAAATGCCCTAGAGTGAGGTCGACTTGGCCAAAGTGGTGGTGAGGGAAGCCCATGAGGTTCTCAGTTAAATCACTTGCAAAAGAGGAAATGAAAATCAAGTTTCTGAGCTTATCCAAACCTTTTTTCCAATACAGAAAATCTACAGATGGGAAAAAAAAAATGTTTGGCAATGCCACCTCTGACAAAGGTCTCATAATGAAAGTATACAGAATACTAAAAGGCCTCCACAAGAAAAATACTGATAATCCAATTACAAAATGTGCAAGAGACATGAAAAGGAAATAAAAAGAAAAGACATGAAAAGACTCCTCACAAAAGATGACATTTGGATGGTCAACAGTTCCATGAAGAACTGTTCAAACTCACTTGTCATCAGATACAAACCAAATCAGCAATGAGATACCATCTCAGCCCCAGCAGCAAAGTAACAGGACAGCAAGCAACAAATGTTGGAAAGGATGCAGAGAGATTAGAACTCTCCTGCACGGCTGATGGGATTTTAAAATGGTACAACTATTGTGGAAGGCAGTTTGGCATTTCCTCAAAAAGCTGAACATAGAAATCCTGTATGTCTTAGCTATTCCACTGCTAGACATATGCCCCAAGGAAGCCAGAACTGAGACATGAATGGAGATATGTACACCTATGTTCGTAGTAGTATTTTAACAATAAATAGCAAGAAAATGGGAAAAGCTCAAATACCCATGAACAAACAAGTGGGTTGAAAAAGTGGGGTACATTCCTGATTCTAATACTTTCTTCATTTTCTTTCTGTCTTCTCACTATTTATTCTTCTTGCAAGTTTTCATTGAAGTTTTTGTCTTCCCTCTTGCTCATTCTCTGTTCTCTGTCTTGTATTCTACTTTACTTGTGCCCCCAATGTGTTGAGAATTTCTGCCATTTTTATCTTGATATTCAGGATTGTATTTCCATGTTTTTCTGTTGTTTTTTGTACTATGTTAGCTGTATCCTCTCTGTATGTTCATGATTTTTTAGTATATTGTTGTTCTTACTTATGGTTTCAATTCTTTCTTCCAGTATTTGTTACTTCATCAGTGCCCGTTCTTGGAACTTCTTTCTTCTGCCTTCCTGCTTCTGAGGTATTCACTGGTTTTCAACCTTGTCTGCTCTTTTAAGAGAGTGCTTGTTTCCATAATGTTTGCTACTGCTGTTTCTTGATCTTAGTGAAGTGGATGGGGGCTGTTTCTCTCCTGAGCAGACAAAGTCTCTGAGGGGAGCTGGAAAAGTCCCAGGAATGCTGCCCAAGACTCTGTCCTCGCCAATTCTTATTGCTGGTACATGCTGTGTACCTGTGTCTTCTCCTGAGGCTAGGGGTCGTCTGCATGAATTCTCTGCTCCTGGAGCTGGCTGGAGGACGTGTCTTAGCCGGGGAGCTCATTGCTCCAGTGAAGGGAGGGCATCCTGCCTGAAGTTCTCTTTGGTCCTGGGCCTGGTGGGAAAACTCACGCTAACTGGGGAGTTCACTGCTCCAGGGGAAGAGAGGACAAGTTGATTTGAAGCCCTCTCTGGTCCTGGGGAATGTTGACATCTTGATCCTATGACCTTCAGGGCTAAGTTCCTGATTGTAACAGACTTCTGTATGGCATTAAAGCATGGCAGACCAGTTTTGTTTGAACGCTCAAAACTAAAAAAACTGATGATTGGAATATGAAAGCTAGAAACAAAGAAGAAGGATTGGTAGTTAGAAAATACACCCTGGGCAGTATAACTGAGGCTAAGCAGGAGTGGCATCCACTTCCTAAATAACATGCTTCCAGAAACCCTATGAACTTTGATAAATGTTGATAGTTGTACAGGTGTTTCAAGCCTTTTGTTCATAAGGTCGCTATGAGTCGTGCTCAACTCAAAGACAAACAACAACAAGAGAGATCCTCTGTCAGAATTTTGTATAACCAAGAACTAATTCATTGCAAATACTTTTTTTTTTTTTAAAAATCACTCCTGTTAGAGCCACGACGACCTGAGAGGTTTATCGTTCGGTGTGTCGGTGTTGACAGGACTGGACCATCAGGAGTTAAGTGACCACAGCAGCTGCCTTCTTGGCCACACTACTGTCCCTGAGCAGCCATCATGCCTCATGGGCAGAAAAGTAAGCTCCGTGCCAAGGAGAAGCGCCGCCAAGCCCAAAGGCAGAACCAGGGTCCGCAGGGTACTCAGGCCTCCCCGGAGCTCTCTCCTGAGACTGAGGGCACACCCCAAAGCTCTTCTACTGCTGGTAGCCCTCAGGAGCCAGCCCCGGGTTCCAGCACTCAGGGTGCAGCTCAGGCTGGAGGAGCACGTGGCTCCCAGCCAAGACCTCGCAAAGGGGAGAAGAATGGAGGTGAGGAAGGGCCGAGCTCGGAGAACACCAAGGCCTCCAGAGATGTCTCCCCCTCAGATCCTCTCAACACCAGGGCCTGTCGGCTGCTGCATTCGATGCTTCACACGTACAAGATGAAACAGCTCATCACCAAGGGAGAGATGATGAAGATCATCACCCGCAAGTACAGGAAGGATTTCCCGGAGATCCTGAAGCTCACCATGGATCGCCTGGAGCTGGTGTTCGGCCTCAACCTGAAGGAGGAGCGCCCCGGTGGCCAGGCCTACTCCCTGGTCAGCAAGCTCAACCTTCCCAGCAACCCGAGTGGTCAGGGTGAGTTGCCCAAGACCGGGCTTCTCATGCTTCTCCTGGGCATGATCTTCATTAATGGCAACAACGCCACTGAGCAAGAGCTCTGGAATTTCTTGAATAAGCTGGGGGTCTACGTTGGGGAGCAGCACATCATCTTTGGGGAGCCCAAGAAGTTGATCACCAAAGATTTTGTTCAAGCAAAGTATCTGGAGTACAGGCTCTTGCCCGGCAGCGATCCTCCGTGCTACGAGTTTGTGTGGGGCCCCAGAGCCTTCGCTGAAACCAGCAAGATGGAAGTCCTGGAGTTTTTGGCCAAAGTCAATGGCACCAGCCCCAGTGATTTCACAGAACACTATCAAGAGGCACTGGCAGAGCAGCGAGAGAGAGAGAAAGGTGCAGCCGAGGCTGGTCCTGCTGCCCCAGGAAAGGGAAAGGGAAAGGCCAAGGCCAAGGCCAAGGCTGCTGGATCTTCCACCCCCTAGGGAAACGAGAGGAGATCCCCCACTTTGTGCTTAATAAAGTCTGTTAACCTCAGTAGTGGAAGACATGGTGGGGCTGAGGAGGGGTAGGATGCATTCAGTATTATCTTCCCCCTACCCTCTGTTTTCAGTTTTTCCACGTTCTTCCTTGTAATAGCTAATTCAGAATCTCTGAGTCATATGGATCACCTGTTTATTGCTAGTCATCAGGCTTAAGAGTGATATTTTGTGTTTTGGCAGCCAGCATAGTGTTACAATAGAGATCTTCCTGAATGTGCAAAAGCACCTCAGATAGTGAGGGTGACGAGATGGAGAAGTAAGAAGCCAAAGGTGATCAGTTCTTTGTTACCTGTAGTCCTTTCAGTCTCTCTTTAGATACAAATAAAAGTTATACACCTGTTTTGTTTAGCTTGTAGAGATACAAGAGAGAGATTAGATTGCATGAAAAGCAAAAAAAAAAAATCACTCCTTATTTTTAAGATGTTGTTGTTGTTAATTGCCATCAAGTTGCAGGTGACTCATAGCGACCCTATGGAGGAGAGTCCTCGATGCTTGGGTGCCTTTCATCCTCTCTCCAAGTTCATAGGGTTTCTGGAGGCAAGCTATTATGGAAGTGGAGGCCACTCCTCCTTCCACACTTGTTTAATCGGGAAGCTCCACCCCACTCTCAGTCCACATTGGGTAGTTTGTAAAATTCAAAGAAGAGGGATCTTACTGTTATATTCTCAACCATGTTCTTGCCAAGGCTACAAAGCAGAGCATGACATTCCTTCATACTTGGGGATTAAAAGCAGAAGAAACACATTCTTTATATTGTTTACAAGAAGGGTTCTTAAAATGCAAATTGACAGTGAAAATGTATTCTACTGGTAATTGAGAGAGTAAGTAGAATAAACTGACTTGGAATTTAAAACTATAGCCTGTTTTCAGCTACCAGCTTTCTTCTTTGTTTTTAGCTTTCGTATTCCAACCACCAGTTACTATTAATGTATCTTAATTACAAGTTTAGTTAATTTCAAACTGTGAAAGTTGATAGAAACCATCAATTTCTTCATCTTTAGTTTTAATTTGAATAATAATCATATCAACAGGTCTTCTCTGCATGTGTATGGATATTATCCTATCATTGACAATAGGTCTTGAAATGTGTTGGGTGTTGGTTTATTTTTAAATAAGAAATGTTTCATTATTTCTCAGTTTGCCATTGTGGACATGATAAATCATATAACTGTCCAATTCAAAATGTCCAGGTCCATTTCTGCTCATTAATGTCTAGGATATTTATCTTTATGTAAAATAAAATGAAGTAAAATAGAAAAAAGTCTTAAAACCTCAAATTCATAGCCATCAAATCTGAACTGCCTTATAACTGACCTTCCGATGGGCTTCTGAAGCTATACATTGCACCAGAGGAGATTGCCCATATTCCTTTCACAGAGCTGCTGGTGGAGTCAAAACTCCTTTGGATCAGAATCACAATTCCCTGCAGTCTATGCCTCCAGAGATTTTCTTTTTATGGATGGGATAACAGTAGTATATCAAAGGATTTGATTATACAACCCAAAATAAACTTTCCTAATATAACAGCACAAATGTGGTTGGAACACCTTTAGGTTACCTGATGCCTTCCTCTAGGTAACCTACGCCATCTATATGGGCCATTGTGAACATCCCACCACGTGTATATCTTCCTTTACTCCTCCTCTATTTTCCCCCCATTAATTTACTACCTGTATCCGTCCCCTACTCCTGCCATAACACAAATACCTAAGTGGGTAACTTTGAAGAACAGAAATGTATTTTCTCTCAGTTCAGGAGGCTACAAGGCCAAATTCAGAACATGACTCTAGCAATGCCTCTCCTTGCCTGTTTCAACTTCTGGTACCTGTTAAGGGAGCTCTGGTGGTATGGTGAGTATGGAGTTGTGTTGCCAACCCTAAGGCAAGTGATTCAAATCCTATGACTATCTGATTCATGGAAGAAAGATGTGCTGTCTCCTCCTGTGTGATTTACAGCCTCTGAAAACCTAGTGGAGGGTCAGCTCTGACTTGACAGCAATGAGGTTTTTTTGAGTTTTGAGGACTTTTTAGTGATTTATTTTAGATTCACTGGCTGGCTTTCTCCTCTCCATGTGTTTTTTTTTTTCTTTTAATTTTTTATTTTTTTTTAAAATTCTTATGTATGTGTGTGTGTGTGTGTGTGTGTGTGTGTACCATCAAATCAGATCTGACTGGTACAGGAGGAGATTGTCCCTCCTTCTCCAACGGAGTATCTAGTGATTTGATCCTTTCCATATTTTTTTGTCTCTAAGTCCATCTTGCTCTTTTTATTACTCAGAAATGATTTGATATAGAACCCACCTTCCTTGAAAATTACCTAAAAACAATGTAACAAAGAAAAACCTCCTTCCAAATAGGTTTATATTTACAACTGTTGGAACCACAATTTCACTACGTCCTTTTTTTAGGGAGACAATGCAATCTGTAACACTCTCCCCATCTGTTCCATTCCACGTCTCCTTTCTGCCAAAGGATCCTACCAATATTGCTTATCTTTGTGGTTGGCAGTGAGAGCTGAGTATTTTTTGACTAGTATCTTGGAAAATGGACAAACTTGGTATCATTTGGAGAACACTGGTGTCAAAGGGTAGAGAGATTCAGTGTTTGTTTACTTATGAAGAAGCAAGATAGTGCTGTAGTCTAAATAATATTAATTCGCTTTCCTTGTCTTGGCCTGAATCACACTACTTTCCTTAAATTTTCCATCGGTTACCAGATGTTATCTAATGATTTTCCTACAGATGTTTGCTTTCTTAGAAGTGAGCTGTGTTTATTTCTTTAGTTACAAAAATGTGTTGTTTATAACTTGTAAAGAAATAGGAATCTATTCTGATTTGCTTCCCACTCACTTTCCTCCCTGGGTTTTTGCCCAGCCTGTTTTCAGGTGGTCCAAATGGCCTTCCTTGTATAACTGTAGAGAAAGACATTCCAGGCAGGCCTTCAAAGCTTGCCTGGTCTTTTTCAGAGGTTTGGGAGTACAAGGAAATTCACTTGGAAATCTTTAGGTTTTGGCCACATATTCATTTTGAGAGTATTGACCCAATAATAGTGGCCATTTCTTGGAGCCACAGTGCATCTAGCATTTGTGGAGAAGATAAAATAGATACTTGTCCACAATTATGTTTGTGATATCCTAATGTGTGATAAACATCATTGTATTCTTATTCTGCCCTTGCATGTGGCTTATTGTTTTCTCCAAATCATGTGGTTAATTACGTGTCTACATTTTAGTCCCCTACTTATTCTCCCCCTCTTCTGAAGCACTTACTTCTCTATTTTTAATCTAGTTATGCTTCAAGATTCAAGAGTTCCATAAAGTCTATACCATCCTGTAGCACCAGAAAACTCACCCTTGTTTTGTTTCTACCTGGCAACTGCCATTTATTTCTAAAAATGCTTCTTCTTCCCCATATGAATTTTCTATTATACTCTTTTCTTTCTCAAGTCCAATATCGGCTTTATCTTCTTCCCCCTCACACAGTTAAACACAGAACTCTGGAGATTATGAGCACTCATTATAGAATGCTCAGACTGAGTTGGAAAGTTGAGTAGGCAATGTGATGTGAGAATTGGAAGGTGTAGAATGATTCGTGATGTAACCTTGCTGCGCCTCTGATTTAGTCATGTCCTCAGTCCACCCAGGCTATGCTTCCTCCATTCCCTCACCCACCAAGCTCAGTCTTGTACCTTTCAGATGACCATTCCTACACCCTCACACACACACACACATTTGCCTCACCCTTTCAAAACCTTAGCTTCCCCTAGAGGGACAGCTTTTTTTTTAAATTTTTAATTAAAAAAAATTATTTTTTTAAGAGGGACGGCTTTTAACTTGAGGCATCTTGAGGGCTCCATTTAGCCTTTGTCACCCTGACACTGTTGAATCTTTTTTTCCTTGTTTTTGTTTTGTCACTTGGTGTTTAGGAAAAATATTTAAGCTTTCTCTCTCACATAACAATACCTTAAGCTGTGCAATATATTCCTGGCCACAGAGTTTATCCTGGTATTCCAGCCTTTGGAGTTCATAGCAACTTTGAAATCTAAAGAAAAGATAAAACTATTGACAATTTATTAATGACATCACTGACGTGTCTTGTAGCTGGGTCGGTTTTTGTTTGGTTTTTTTTTGTTTTTTTTTTTTTAAAAAAAGGATTTCTGCTCTTTTTGTTAACATTTTTTCACTACATTGTTGTTACAACAATAAAAAGTTCAGGGGGGTTTGGTGGCCTAGTGGCAAGAAGCTGCACTGCAATCCCTGAAGCACTCTGTTCGAATCCACCAGATGCTCTTCTGGAGAAAGAGGGGCAATCTCCTCCTGTACCAGACAGATCCTATTTGACAGTACACACAGAAAATAATAAAACAAAACAAAAAGCTCAAACTCAAAACTCTCACATGAGAACCAACTCATAGCTGACCCTCCAGTGGGTTTTTGGAGGCTGTAAATCTAATAAGAGAGGTTGCCTATCTTTCTCCTGAGGAGCTGGTGGTGGATAGGACTTCCAGAGAGGCACTGGCTTTGGGTTGGCAGTGTGTCTCCCTACAGACAGTTCCGTCAGAGCTCCCTATTTAAGAATTAAGATTTGAAAATGATTGCATAAGAATAAAGTGAAACTCAGTAACATCTGTCAGTTTAAGGAACTAAACATTATCCGTACAAAGCCTTAGGGTATGTGTTTTTCATTTCTTGCCTCATCCCCCAGAGGCTACAACACTGTTCTGAATGTATAATACCCCTGTTGGTTTGGTGCCTAATGTGTAAGGCTGCTAATCAAAAGGTCAGCAGTTCAAAACCCCCAGCTACTTACTGGGAGAGAAGATGGGCTATTTCCTAAGTATTTAGTGCCTTGGAAACCCAATGAAGTATCACTATGAAATGGTCTTGACTTGATAATAGTGGGTTTGGTTTTTTCTTAATACTTTTAGAGAGAGCTCTTGCAGCTG